TAACCGCTTTGTGGAGAATTGCTGGCTCTGTATAGTAGAACAGATAAGAGAAAGTGTTTGTTCTTTGTAACTCCTCTGCAACTGCTTCGCTCACCGCGGCCTTGAAGATAGCAAAAAGTATGTACAACTCTGATTTGCAGGTGCAAGAAGGAGGTTTGTGAACTAACCTCGCCTCCCCCATTAGTTCCCATCCTGATTACAGCAAAGAAATAATGAAGTAATGTTATAGCCACTTTTCATGCTAATTTCACTATATGATCACGTGAGTTGTAAGCAACTGTTAAAAAGTATATAAGCCTCCTGATTTTGCTCTTGGGGGGGGACCCCTTCCAAGTGCTTGGGAGATCCATGTCACTTTGGAGTCCCCCCTACAGCTGTAGTTTCTTTTGAATAAAAGCTTCTGCTGACCTGACCCAAAAGTATGCTGCGTGTGTTTCCACGACAAGTTCATGAATAATGCAAATTCAGTCCATGAGCAAAAGGCCAAAAACCACTGCAGATTTGACAGAGGTGACAGGAGTTCTTGTCAAATCCATGTGTTTAATCCAGCTCCTAAGGATACTTAATGCATTGGAGATGGAGAGGGAAAACGAAGCAGCCAAAATAAATACGCAGTGCAACAGAAGACAGAAATGGGAAAGGGAATGTACAGATTACAACCCTGCCATGCACATTATTCACTGTATCTAAATTTTATATTTTATGAATACCCCCCTCCCCCCTGCTGCAGCTTTCCAATGGCTGGAGTTTCAATAGGTTATAAATATTTAAGATACAGAATGTAAAATATATCAGGCAGACTATAAACCAAGAGTGTCTTCTACGAAAAAGGCTTTACTGGCCCTGAAGCAGACCCTCTCCTGTCATACTCTGTTAGCCCCCAGTCAGGAAGAACTGCACCAAGAACTCTATTAATAGGAATTAGTATAAGCCTTCAAAGAGGGAAAGGAACCAAAAACCCATACCTTTTTTTCCCAATGACAAACAACCTAACTCCAAAATGGGATAGAAGCAGAATGTAACTAGGCTTTTCAGAAGCCACAATGTAACACTGCCTTCTTAGTTCTGAAATAGAATTGCACTAAATTCCAGATCCAAATAGAAACAGAGTAAAACACCTTAAAAATACCCCAAATAACTGGCCACAACACACAACGTAATCTAAGAATACAAGTCCTGCAGAAGCAAGTTTATAGCAGGCAAAGTGAACTGAGTTTACAGTAAATATGATGGGAATTAGATACCTTAAAGTCCTTATACTAAAAACAGCCTTAAACAATTACCTGCTAATATCCATCAAACACACAAGGACGAATCATGCGAATGAATAGGGCAAAGGGCACCATGTCAGTTCCATGTGAAAACTGCACAACGTTTTCCCTGTACAAGGTTCAGGCAGGTTACAGATTAAGCAGCATAAACGGGTTTATTTTCCTGGAAAACAGATTTAAAGAGTGCCTTGCAGAAAAAACAGAAACTGAAAAACAGTTCCTGAGACAGGTATGGTAGCAAAAGCATGTAGTTGGAAAGAGCATCAGCAACAACAGACGGGAAACATCCACATGAGTGTTTCAACCTTTCAGCCACCATAATAAATATTCTGATGACAACTGTTGAGAACTTTGCATCAAAATGATTTTTCATTGGAAAACTCCTATTTGTCAAGAAGCATTTTGTGAAAACCTTTCAGTAGGCAGGGCTCTGACAGGATTCCTGCT